ATACATATTTACCCTTAAACAGGGTGATTTAGTAAAAAGTGCAATATTATATATCATTGTTTAGGGCATTAAAAATGAGCAAAAATTTTTAATAAATTGGAAATATTTGTCAAATCTCAACGATTCTCGAAATACAGGAATTTTAACAAATGTTCACGAAGTTTTTTTTTGTTTGTAATTTCCCTTTCGAAAAACATATCAATCTTCGGAATACCATGCATTCGAACTTTAGAAAAAATCAAATTATTAATAATTCCTGTATTTCGGGCACTCTGGGGATTTGACAAATAGTTCTAAACAAATATTTTACTCATTTTAGATATTGTACTATTCTTATTATTATTCATATTGAACTCCTTACTGATCACCCTGTATGTATTTAAGATTAAAAAATTATACCCTTCTTTCGATTTCTCTTAAAAATAGATAGTCCCATATACTAAATTAATTTAATTAAAATGAATGTTAAACTAACTTTAGGGGGGAAAAGGGGTGGATCTTTGAGCTTATCGTTACCTTCCTTATCAATGAAAGGTTGAATTGCCGTCTTGTTGTGAAAACATTTGTTTAAAATTTCTAAAAAATCAACTAATTCAGAGTTGATTTTTATATTTAATTAAAAAGAAAAAGGAAAATCAGTAATAATAATTTAATTAAATTTTTTTTTCCAAAATATTGAAAGTTGTTTCTTGTGTTAATTTAAATAAAGCAATTTTTAATAGCCCGAAGGAGTACTATTTATTATAAAAAAAAGCATTTTTTTTTTTAATTTTTTGGAAAGGTGCTAAAAAAAGGCAAATGTTAGGATTGCTATGTTTTAGTAAGTTTTGGTAAATTTCAATTTATTTTAGTTGTAATATAAGCATAAAAGTAAACAACTACCGTATAACTAAGCAACTTAGTATTTTTATTTTGTATTCGAAAAAAATTACTTTTGCATCCGATTCGAGAGCTGAAATTCGAAATATATACTTACGTCCTTGGAAATATACATACATATATATCCATTTGCTCTGAATTTTTAAAATTACTTATACTTGTTTAATGCTAATATTTCCTCTATAAGACAGTATTTTGGGATCCGTGGAACTGTGTAGCACATTGACTATATAGTTTTTTATTCATATTCTGCGTACACAGAGAAGATGGGTCTAATTTCATCTTTGCATACTTTCTAATAAATTTAGAATGTTAATATCCTATGTACGCCTAACTCTATTTAATCAACAAGTTTATCCTTTTTTTTATTATCGAATTTCAAATGTTTTATCTAAGAAAATAATTTGTGCAGATAAAAATACTCTTTAAAGTTTTAAATTTTTAATGTCATAAGTCATAATTCATAATATTCCCGATGGATCAGGTATATTACTAATAATTCACATAATTTATTTTCATAACTACTTATAAATATTAAAACGATATTCGCTGAAAGCCACTTTCTTTTTGAATACATACGTGTACACACATACATATTAAGAATAGACAATTCTTTACAACATGTTTGAAAGTTATAGTTGTCATTATAAAATATTAATTTAATAATTTCATATTTAACATATAAAATTCAAGGTTTTTATTCTAAAAATTTTTGAGATTGAAATTGGTTTTTGTTTTGTGTAATTTGTTGACAGTTGTCAATACATGTGTACAAATATACGCCAAACGTAAAATGTATGTAAACATATGTTTAAAGTTTAAGGTAAATGGCATACATTAAAAAAAAACAAAATTTATAAATTCTTTATAGTTTTGTTGCCTATGGGCATGTAAATAAGAAAAAACAAAACCAAAAATCGAACAATTTCGTGTATTTTTTTTTTTTTTTATACATTTTAAGGTTGCAAAAAAAATAAATTTTATAACCTTAATAATTTTATGATTTTAAAATATTTTATATTCAATGTTTTATTGCATATACCACTACTCTTAAGAATAAAATTTTAAAATGTTACTTGGAAATAACAAAATAACTCTTAAGTATTTAAGCCATATTTCTCACGTTACTCAAAAAAATCGGAAAAATATCTTTGGATCAAAAATCAATTTATTCGAAAATTACCAAATTCTATTATCATATTGGGATTAAGTAATATAGTAGCAGTAATTAGTTCAGAGTAATTTATAAGTAAATAACAACGAAAAAATTGTGCCCCTAGTTAGAACTTAAGACAACAAAGGGCTTTTTTATAATTTTTTTTCAGCTTTTATGTAATTTATCCTATACTTTAAAGAAGGTTTATAAAATTTTGTATGCTCTAAAATGTTTAAAACTAAAATGTTCCTTACAGTGTGTTTTGTTTTGTTTCCTACTCCAATATGGGTTTAACATTATGTTAAATACAGGAAATGTATAGGCTCAGAAACACTTATTGGCCCATCTCATGAAGAAGCCTTATCTTTAATCATTCAAAATTCGCGTTATTTATAATCATGTTAAAGTAGATGAAAACGAAATTCAATTAAAATGAAAGCACAGCAAAACTAGCGCAAAAAACACTATATATAAGACAAAATATAAAAAACAGGTTTTTTTTCGTTTTCTTAAAATCCATATAAGTGCATTTTAAATGCATGTGTTCAAATTGCATATATGTGTGTACATATATAAATATACGCGTACACAATTAAAGTTAAAAAATAATAGTAAGTGAATTATAGTTTAAGTTTATTATTATATTAGAGATGGAAAATACTGCGATTGGTTTGTGATTAATTAGATTAAAATCCTACAGGGAAAAGCAACAGCAGGTCGTTAATATGTATTAAGCTTAAGGTAATACGTTCGTAAGTGATCAACGTATTTGGGATACTGATTAGGCTATGTTGATAGGCCTAATAAATAAGACAGGCCAGCATAAATTGAATTTTGTTGTATTAAAAGCCGAAGAACCTTACGTACATTAAAGTGTTTATTTATAAGTGAATACCCAACACTGTTATATAAAATGTACAAAAAAAATTAAAGAATGTCGGCAAAGTGTTTATATTCGATTAAAAGGCAATTAAAAATTTTTTAATGTTATTAAAAAACGAGTAATGGATCCGGTCTATTTTAACAGAGTACAGTATAGTTTTTTCATATAAAATTTTTTAGTTCTCTTATTGATATTTGCGTAAAAAAAAGCGGGCAAAAAGGAATATTGAATAGAATACATAAAAGAATAGAAAAAAAAGCAAAATACTTTAAATGAGTGCAAAAGGTGAATCGAGAAACGTATAAATTTATGTAAAGGAAATGGTAAATAAAAAATGGGAAAAATAAATATTGCTTTTATTTAAAAAAGGAATATTGTTTTTATCAGAATCTGTCTCAGCAAATAGTCGACCACCAAAAAGAGACGGTTTTCTAGGACATCTAGGCGTGTTTAAAAAAATTTTTAAGAAACATCTTTTGGATATTACCCGTCGATTTGATATGCTAATCACGGGTTTCATGTCTCATAACGCTTTCATTTACTTTCACGTGAGCTTATTATATCAATGTAGCACTTTTCCTTTAACAAGTGAAAATGGTGAGCTATGAATTACATTATTAAAATTACTTTCATTCATATAATTTAATATATTTCAAAGATTTCATACATTGAAAATGAACACTGCATGCAATCTTTGAAATAAAACAAAAGAAATTGAAGAGACGTTAACATAAATCCTTGAATTTTAGGGTTAATTGTGGGATAAAAAAATGATTATATTTTTTAATGACATGGTATTTTCAGTTAGCTTTCTGTATTTAAAGAAATTTGAAAAGCTTTCAGTGTTGGAAATATAAGGTACCAAAAACTGAAATTTTTTCAAATTTCAAGCTGAAGGTGAAAAAATTTTTTTCAAACGGAGTTAACTATTTATTAGTGTCTAAAAGTTGCTAAAATTTCGGATTTTTTACAACCTGAGGTCTAGAAGAAACACGATATCAAAAATTTGGAAAAAACGGATTTTAGAGGGCCATAACTTTTAGACGGGGGAGATAGGTAACGGAAATAAGTTTCTATTAAAGAGCTATGTATATATAAATATAAGTTTTGTAAATATGTCCACGGACGGGCGGGCGGACAGAGTTAAACTAACAAGCACTTTTTAAAATTTTTTTTGGAAAAGTGCTAAAAACCTAGCAATTTTATTCAGAAATTTATCATTTTTATCTTAATTAGGAAAAGTTTAACAATTGCAACTTCGTCTTTGTCAATTTTTGCTTAATTATATATCCATTTTTTTTGTTGTAGAATTTTATTTAAATTATTTGCATTGTATATTTGGTATGTACACATCTTAGTTGAATTCATATTAACCCTGGTATGACTATTGGGACTTATTATTATAGGATACATATCTTATAAAAAATTTGTTGTTGTGTTTTTTTAATTAAACCTCTTATATGTACAACTAAAATTTTGTGAACATACCAGATAAGCCGCCCTTCCCTGCAGGAAAGGCTGGAAAAACAAGGAAGAGAAGTAACTATAAAATAATATAAACTTTATGACTATGAATTATACAGTCTCCACAAACTGGTGGAGTTGCATGCTATATTAAAAAATGTTTTAAGAAAATGATAAAAATGAACTTTGGATATTACTGTTAAAAAGGAAAATACGGAAACAAGAATTTACTGTAATAAATATATTTTTTAACTGGTCAGAAAATGATATAAATAGCAAAAAGTTCGATATTTTTTGCGGCGATTTTAATATAAACATGCTGCAAATACTCATACAGTCTGATTTAGTAATGCAGTTTTTTGGTTGATAGCAGCTTTAAACAGTTAGTTAATTTTCAAACACGTATTTCTGCTTCTTCAGCCTATTCACTGCAAAATAAGAAAATTTTAACAAGATTTGAAAGCTTAAACAAAACTTACTTTAATAACCCTTCAATATCTGAATCTGCCATTTTGAAATTTAAAATTTTCTTGAATTTAAAAAAAAAGAAATTCATGACGCAGCGACAAAATTTATACTAGAGATCTGGGCTACATTTTTAACATTTCTGTATTGCAGATTAAATTTCCAAACGCACTTAATTGCAGCCAGTAGCTTCCGAACGATCTAGTGCATGTAGCGTGAATTTTCGAACGTACTACGAGCTAGAACTATTCTACAACTAAATAAACGAAAACCCCCTATTCCTTTAATGTTTTATGATGATGAAATTAGAACGGAATTATGGCATCATTTTTCGTTTAGTGCGGTAACATCAGCTGATTTGAAAAACGTAATATGGGCACTTCAGTGAAAAAAAGAAATGTACGGTTTGTCATCTAAAATATTTATAATAATAAATAATCTTAACTTCATCGAAAATTTAGTCATTAGTATAGTAGACAAAAGTTTTACAGAAACAGTGTTTCCGACGAACTGAAAAATGACATTGGTGATTCCTATAGAAAAGGTTAAAATTCTGAAATATCCCATTAATATGCTACCTTGCTATGAAAAAATTCTAGAAAGGATTACAGACACAAATACAAAAATTAATATATAGTAATAATATAATAGGAGAGGAGTACACTGGTTTTAGAACAGGGTACTCAACGGAAAGCGTGCTTAATTGGAAGATCAGTTCATGGAAAAAGAATAAAGAAGATGGAATGTTGTGAATGAAACTCTTGTTGTGTTTCTCAACTTAAGCAGAGCCTTCGAAACCTAAGAAAGAAACATATTTTTAACAAAGCTTGAAAAATATAGTGTTGCAGTTTAAACTAGTTTCGAAGCTATTTAAGTAATAGAGAGCAAAAAACTCTAATTAGTGATAAAGAATCTGAAATTTGTTCAATTGGGTGTACCGTAGGGTACAATCCTTTGAGTATTACTTTTTCTATTGTATATCAATGACATGAAGTCGGTGCTTAGATTCGACAATTCTTTGTTAATTTGTTTAAAAAAAATAAACTAAAACTTAAAATAGCCAAAACAAAGTGCATTATTTTAAATAGAAAAGATTAGGCAAATATAAACATCGATAGATAACACCTAAATTGAAGTAGTTGAGCAGCGTAAGTATCCATTTAACTAGAGGTTGATCATTTCTCGTTATATGGGCAAAAATCTAAAATAGTTTATTTACGCTTCCCTACAATGGAGAAATGCGTTCCCACCGAAAACTCGGTATATAAAATTTGTTGTCCTAACAACAACCTTCCTTATTGGTGTCAATGCTGTCGGTAAAAAACATACTTCTTAAGCCGTATATGAAATTTTCGTAGAAGAAAACGGTTACTTATCTCCTTCCCTCTAAAAGTTATAGGCACAAAAAAAAGCCATTTTTCGCTAATTTATTTTAAGGAAACCAACAATATCTTTTAAATTTTCTTGACTTGTCGAGTAGACAAACAAAATGACCATTGAAATTTACCGTTGCCTAAAACCCGTTTTTCCAATTTTTGATATCGTTTTCTTCTAGAGCGCAAGTTGTAGGAGCCTGAAGTTTTAGCCCACTTTAAACACAGATAAATAGGTTATTTCGCTGAAGGAATTTTTTTTTCCACCTCTATCCCCTCTCAAGCTATCGGCTTCCGAAATTTCTATAAATCAAATTTTTGGCACCTTGATACTGGAAACTTTTCCAGATTTCTATAAATACAGAAAGCTAACAGTAAATGCCATGCCATTAAAAAGTATACATAATTATTTTTCTTAACTCACGCAATTAACCCTTAAATTCGAACATTATATTAGCGTCCTTTTAATTTTTTTTGTTTATTTCATAGACTGAATACATTGCTCATCTTAAAATGCAATTTTTCAAATATATTCTTATAAGAATGAAAGCAATGTTAACAATGTAGTGGTACATTGTACAGTAGTACTGCTTTTATAAACAGAATTTTCACTTGTTGAAGGGAGATGTTCTACGTTACAAACCATTGGTTAATCCAACTTATTTTTCTTCTCATTTTTAAATATAAAAATTTAAATTTAATTCAATTTTTTTGATTTGCAATATACATTAAATTAAATAATTTTTAAAACATTTTTTGTTAGGTGTAAAATATTTTTTGTTAAATTTGAACAATAACTCACTTTTCCTTTTTTTATAATAAGAATGCACAATTTAAAAGCATAATTTATTGCTGATAAAAACAGCAAGCAAGAGCAAGAGATGACAGCTCATTTTCTTCGTTTATGTCCAGGCACGGAAGCCGAAAGTGTCCTGGGTCACATTGTTTAGCCAGTTAAGGAACTATGGTAAATGTCAATGGCAGAGATCTAAACTGATGTGTATCAAAATATATGATGTTAATACACATAACTTAAATAAAACTTAAAACCCCTTGGTCGTACCAGGGTTAACATTATAATATTTTTAATTTTTGTGCTCTTGATTATTCTTATGAGTATAATAAATAATTTTTTTTTCTTGATATTGAAAATGGAATTCAAATTCAATAATTTTGAATTTTAAAATAATTTAGAAGAAAAACTTTTTTATTATCATGTTAATGAGAGCCAAACAGACAAAAAAAAAAAACGGAAATAATAAACAATGAAAACAGAAATTAAAATTAAAATATAAAAAAAGGAGAAATAATTATAGTAACAAATTAGCACAAAGAAAAAAATAAGACTAAAACACGAGTACAGAATTGCCGTACAATGTGTGCTTATAGTTGTATGTTTATCATTGTGAGAATGTATATGTATTTTATTTAGGGGCGAAGTATCTGCACAGGGTGATTAGTAATTGAGTCCAACGTTACATACCTTTGGTGGATAATCAAAAATTTTCAACATTTTGTTTTATTGAATTTTCAAAAACGAAAATGGTTTCCGAAATGCAAGGATTTTAGAATTTCACGAAAATTCCATTTTTTCTTCACTTTTTTATATACACTTTGCCTTTATATATACTTTTTTATATAAAAAGTTTTTGAAAGCGCATATACAAAGGCACAGGCTACCCTAGGTATTGCTTAATATTGTGTGTTAAATACTCTTGGAATGCAAATTATATACATGTAGCAATAAAAGTGTGCAAAAGTAGAAATTTTCCTTAAACCCTTATAAGCATCTAAGAAAAAATTTGAGTTTTAACATATGTTTCCCAAGAAATTATTTTTTATCCATTTTCATAAATGAAAGTATACAATATTCTACTCATTATTGAATCACTCTATATATATGTACACATTTATAAATAATATACATATAAGGTACAGAAACATCATAAATTTTTAACGCTTAAAATTTTTTGTTTTTGATAATAATATTGAGAAATTTGATTTTTTTTTTTCCAAAGAAGAGCAATACTTAATGATTTTTCCAGTAAGATCATAAAGATAGGGATAAACATATATAGGGTGAATATTTCAAATTTTGTAATTTCTGGTAAGATCATAAAAAAATGGGCATAACATAAAAAAGACATACATATATAGAGTGAATTTCAAACCTTGGTGGCTTGAGAGAAGAAATGTTTTAAAACGAATCTATACATGGATACTTCCCGCCGTTTTTATTTTTTTTTGACATAAAATGGGGGAGAGGAGTTGTTGTAAATTACTATTGCTGTATTACTGTTATACTGTATGTAAAAAAAAGACTTGCTTTAACCGATTTTAAAATAAAATCAATTGGCTTCTCTCTTTCCAAAAGATATCCATAGTTGGGTTACTACCTAACCTTATATATTTGTTACCTATTCTTAAATGTAGAAAAAAAATTAATTGCGTATTAAAATTTGTATTTGTTATACATATATGTAGCAAATTTTTGTTTGTTTAACCCCTACCTAAACGCACCTAAAGCTTTAATTTAATAACAGATTTAAATTAGAATAGAATAACAGATATTCCGAAACGAGAAGTAATATTTCCTGTTTAGCAAGAAAAATGTCAAATGATAGAAGGAACAATACTCGACCCCCTTGTATTTTCGTATTTAATGATAAAAAAAATTTTTGGATTTCTAATTTGTATTTGGATTTTTAATTGAATTTCATTGTACACGTGCAAATTGTAATACATCTAAGTTTAATTGTGTATGCCTACATATGTTTTTATGGGTTATTTTTATTAATGTGTGTATATATGTAAACATGTACATATATATATATATATGTAAAAATATTTTGATTTATAAAAAGACCCCCCCGCCCTCCCTATACCTTATTTATTGCTTGTATTTACAAATTACATTTTTGAATTGATGAAAGGATTATTTGAATTTATACAAACAGAGGAATGTTGAGAACTTTAATTGTTGTGTATGAAGATTGGTATGTACGCATACATATATTATATGTATATAGATATGTAAATGATTTAGTAAAATTAATAATTCACATATATATATATATATATATATATATATATAAATACTTATGTAAGTCATTTTGTGTATGTCATTAATAAAATTTATTCAAAATAGTTATGTAAATTATTTTATTTTGTTTTTGAATATTCATTATTATTATTATTTATTTGAAATTAACGCTACTTATATTCATATTTAAGTATTTTTAGTTCTTAGACGTGTGCATACATATAAGCCTATATGTCTATACAGGTCTAACTCGTAACGTGAAAAGGTGGAAAATCGTTTCTGGGGGCGGTTGCGGGACATCGCACCAAAAAAAAAGAAAATTATTAAAAAATAATTTCAAGATCAGCTCAAAATTTTTCAAATTATGAGGAAAATAATTGAATGCGGAAAATTTTTTAGTAATTGGTTGCTTTGTGAAACTTTTTTTTCACTTTTTTCTTTGACTTATTTTTCAGTAAGTTTTAAAGTAAAGCAACAAATGACACACTGTTGTTTTTTTAAATAAAGAGCACCTTTTCAGTTTACCATTGCATGTAAATTTTTTTAAATCGGCTAATAATTATGGAAGCTATATTCGTCTAAGTTGATACATTTTTTTTTGTCGAAACCAAAAATTTTCAACTGAAATTTTGGAGGCTAAATATTCATTTACCATTTGCCACCATTGTTCCACTTTTCTGCCCCCCGGGGAGATTATATCACGTTATTTATTCACCCTGTTTGTATTTTCATATACAACATTTTGAGTGTATATAAAAGGTAAGATGTTTCCTTTTAGAAAATCATACGCATGCTATGTTTACAAGTATGTATAAGTATAATTTTTAAGTACATAATTATTTAAATATGACAACGTAAGTATATAAACAGAAATATAATTTAAATGCACATACATTTGTAGATATATATGTACTGAGCATTTATTTATAAGAAGATTAGAGAAATTTTTATTATTATTTTTTTTTTATTATAAAGCACTTGGCTTGTTTTTGAATTATTAAATTGCCATATTCGGTAAAATATAAAAATATATATATTTTGAGAAGTGGGGCGGCATATAGTCCGTATAGTATATGAGATTTTCAAGGGAACCAAATGAGGGCAAGAGAACATCTCCTCTGTGCCACCGCAGTCATACGCGATTCATTATACCGCCCATAATATATGTGTTCCAAGTATAAAGGCGAAAATATCTCCGAAAAAATTCAGTTCAAAAGAATTGCAACGCCAGATAACCAATATCTCAGTCTCAAAGGACTGGCGGCTTCGTCGCTATCTCTCTACCGACTTAGACTAAAGATTGACTTAGAGTAAAATTATATGTACCTTTGTGTTGTAACGGTGTCATCGAAATGTAATTACATATTGGTAATTAAATAACTGCATCAAATGGCGGCAACACTTACAGCTGTTTCTTTAGCATCTTTATGAATAATATATTCATAAATACGTATGTACAATCGTGTATGTATATGTTTGTATTGTGCATTTTGTATTTGTAATTTTTAAGATTTTTTTTTGTCAAATAATTAAAAAAAAATTCAAAATGGGATCAAAAAGGTTATTATTATATAGTTGATGCTTTCTGTTTATTTTTATTTTTATTTTTGATAAAGATTAAAATCTCATTTTTATAATCATAATAATATTTTAAAGTAATTAAAAGTAGAAAATATTGAAAATATATTTTTGTATAATGAATTATGTTTACATTTATATTCACAATAATAGATTATACATATACAAATATACATAGTCAATTTAACATGACTTGAATTTGAATAGTTTTTATATTTTATATATTGCTTTTATATTTTTATATTGTATGTATTGTATAAGGGTTAAATTTTTCGAAAAATTAAATGTCAATTGTAAAAATCTAATGAATTTATTATTGCTGTACTTGTAATAATTTTCTATTTTAATTATTATAATTTGCATCTCCCATCTCACATTATACATATTTCTCCATCTTGATCTTTCACAATTTGTTTTAAAAATTTCTTTATTACTTATCCTATTTTCGAGGTCGAATTTGTTAACATATTTACATACATATATGTATAAATATTTGTTCATACCCTATGATATATTGAAATTGCAGTATAATAATCTTTAATATTCAGTTGATAAGTGTCGTATGTATTGTGCGTGATTTGGTTGTAAAACTATACAATTTTTTGAGTTTCAGGGATGATACTATCATGACATATGACATACATGGATACCATCGGAAATTTTTTTTCTGGTTCCTTAAGTTATAAATTAAATTTTTACAATGAGACGGTTATTTCATATATATTTTTAATCAAAGCAATTTTTTTATATAGGAAATAAAAGGATTTTCTTAATTTTTAGCATTTGAGTTCTGTTTGTCAACGAAACTATTTCATGAATTTCAATGAGAGAAATCAAAACGTGAAAAATGAAACTCTAATAAGAACAAAGATATTTTTACAAGTATATCAAGTTTAAGATTACTATAGACTCCTTAAAATTTGAAATGAATGTTTTCTTGTGTAACATTTATGCTAAATACTAGAAAATATATTTTGTGATCGGCTCGATGCTGATCACATCTTGTTTTTTTGTTTTGGTTACGATCTAAACTTTGAAAACGACATTATGTAATTGACATTTTTTAAAAAAATCTTTGCTTTTTTGAAATTCTCTAGTTTTTTATACTTACTTTAATTAATAAATTCTTTTTTTTTTTTTTCATTTCAGATTATTGCAATTCTAAATAAATTTATTTCCTATATAGATTTTTATGTATACATATATAAAAAGATTAAAAATATAATGTAAAAAAATTAAATAATTATTTTAATAGAAATATAAAATATATTATAAAATATAAAAACAAAATTATAATAGATAGAATAAACTGTAATATGAATGTAACGTAAAAAAAAAACTGTTATAAAAATTTTTATCAATCAAAATAAATGTTTAATAAATAAATTAAAAAAATATATAAAAAATTTAGTGAATAAAAAGTTACAAAAAAATTTTTAAAAGTGAATTATATAAAAATTTTTAAAAATTTAAAAATGCCATTATTTGGCAAAAAGGATTCAGGGAAAAAATCCAAAAAAGATGCAAAAGAATCTGACAAACAAATCTTCATTGAAGATAAATATAATTTAAAAGAATTATTGGGAACGTAAGTAAAATTGTTATAAATTATATAAAAATTTTCATAAATAATAAATTCATATACAGTAAGCCAAGCTTAAGTTCAACAACTTTCATAATAATTGAGTGATTTTTTAGTTCAGACAGAATCTCAAAATTCTCAACATTCAAATTTCTTTTTTGCTATCTCCCTCTCATATAAAACGAGCGTGCGCTCATAATCAAGTTCTATTGCTCATCTATGCCAATGGCTCATTTAACGATTTAATGATTTTTGTGTTTATTTTTTTTTTAAAATCTCTTGGAGATTTCCTTTTATTTTGGAGCATTAATACATATCATTATTCTTTTTTCTCTTGTATAATGAATGGCTTGTCAATTTCGAATCGTTGTTTAGCATCAAATATTGGCTCTTTTTACTTACCACCTAAATTAATGACTTTATTTTTGTAAAATAATAAGAATAATATATTCGTTACACAGTGCAAATAGTGCAAATACTCGTTTTTTACATACGCACCGAAATTATTTATTTATGATAACATTTATCACTCTTACTTTTTTTGGGAACAATAGTCAGGTCTAAATGTATTTGAAAACACGTTTAGAGCTCGTTAGGTTAGATTACTTTATCACTTTTATTATGGTGGCACTTAAGTGTGGGTGACTGTATTTATGTAAACCTACAAAAAAATTCATGTTAGATTTTAAATTTTAAATACAATAACTTAATTTCAGTGGTGCCTTTTCGGAAGTTAGATTAGCTGAAAGCAAAGAATGTCCTGGACAATTATTTGCCGTAAAAATTATAGATAAAAAAGCATTAAAAGGAAAAGAGGATTCCTTAGAGAATGAAATTAAGGTCCTTAGAAGGTAAATAATTATTTTAATTTAATAAAGAAATATTTTTTTAGAAAAAATAAATTTTAAATAAGTTTTTTTATATTTATTTATTATAATACATAATATATTGTTCTATCGTTTGTTAACGGAATATTTTAACTGTAAATGTAAATTAGTTCGGAGCTAATGTTATGCCTCTCGAGCATTATAATTCTTTAAAATTTTTTTAGGAAAAAAATTATTCAGAGCGGAGAGGAGCTCTAAAATTTAATATTTGAGTTCTCTCCAGAGAATTCTTGTATCATATACTGTGAAACTCTACTATAATCAAATATATACACTTTTTTAGTTAAATTACTTAAAGCTTGTTATAGGTTTTCCTTAAAATTTGAATGTGGTGGGTTAGGGACATTTTTACATAGTCTTATTCAGCTGTTTCGCCAATCCAGGAATTTTGTGGTCGGATCGGTATGTGCTGACCATATCAAATTTTTTTTATTTTTATTTTGATAATTTCTCATCTTTTGAAATAAAACAGTATGTACCTACATATACACATACATAACATTATGTATGTATTTCGTCCTTTTACATTTAACTTTTATTTTCTCTATATTGCATACCATAATTTACTTAACGCTATTACATTTTAATAATAATAACGATATAAAGTAATGTCTTTATATCTAACAAGTCCCAATGCTCAGAGAGAAACTTGAAAGCACGACCTTATTTTATATGGGTTTTTTTTAAATCGAAGTGGCTATTTTTTGAGAAGAAATATTAAAATAAATTCACACTTATTATAAAGCAGGTAAAATTTAGAAAATATATTTGAAAAATCAAAAAAATATATTAATATTTTTATTGATAATTATTTTAAAATTTAAAAAAAAACGGAAAAACAACAAGCACATCCTTCGCTCTCAACGTTTTATATGTTACTGAAAGCATTTTATTATTTTTAAGTGAACAGCTTTTTTTTCTCATAGGGTAAGTTAACTCAAGATATGGGGAGTAACTGTGGTGTCAAGTTGAAAATATAATTAATGAAAGATAATTCTTAAATATTGATATAAATACATAGTAAAGAAAAAATTTGAAGAGGGAATTAGAAAATAATATCTAAAATACAATCAAATATTATTTGTTAAATACAAATTTTATATAAACTTCAAAATTTTACCTCTATTTTTATTTGAAAAAATATTAAAAACTTACTATCATTTATATCAATTACCTAAGAAAAAAAAATATTTAAAATGTTTGGAAAAAACAATCATATATTTTTATGACCGGATTTGAATATTTTTTTATTTTTGAAATAAATGGTATTTTACCAAATGACTCAAAAATTCCGACTGTAAAATAACAGGTATTTTAAAATTTTTGTTCTTTATGTAATATTCTTTCCGTTTAGAATTAAGATAGATCATACATACACATGCAGGGACATTTTATAAATAGATTGCTCTTGTTTACCTGCTAATAAAATATGAAAAAAGAGCACAACAAAATTTTTGAAGCACTCAATATAACATGTTTAAAATAGTTTTAAAATAAAGTTTATTGGAAGTAGGTACATACATATTTATTTTTAATAACTTAAAAACTAACTGAAATTATTTGAAACAATTTTATAAGTAACGTATACATAACCGAAATGAGATAATTCAAATTGTTGAAATGTGTCAACCTATATTACTTTTAGCAACATTTTTGTTAGCCGACACTACTCAACTTACCTTATTGGGAAATACAAAATGTGCATGAAAAATCATACATTCTTCCTCATTAACATTTGAAACCATACTGAAATATGAATTTTTAATTTTTTTTCATTTTTTCTTTCCCCCTACCTTTCTTTCTTTTTCGTGCAATAGAATTTAAATGGGAAGCTTTTTAAAAAATGTGTATAATATCCTGAGATTCTTTAAAATATTAAACTCTTTTTTACTTAAAAAAAAAAGAAAAAAATGACAAAAAATATGACACGATCAGTGGCATTTAAAGAAAAAACCAGCAACGAAGCCAAAAATTCGTAATATTTCGTAAAAAAAAATTGAGTATTGGGACTTGTTAGATATAAAGACATTATATAAAGTGTATCGTGCTAAAAAGTATAACTAAAATAATATAAAAATTAAATGCAATAGATGTCATTACTTTATCGTCTATATTATATTATATATACGATAAAGTAATGCATTTAACAAAATTAAACACTTAATGTAAATTTATAATCGAGAAAAAATAATGTATATTTATGATCTAAAATAAAAAAAACATATGATTTAATCAATAATTTTATTAGCTTAAACTAACTTTTATACATTTTATTAGTAAAAATTTAATTTTTTATTTCCTGTACACGTGCATCTAGAATGAAGTAAAATAAATATTCGTATATTTATATATAGGTAGTTTTTTACAATGTTCAAAGCGTGAACTGTTTAATACCCTTTTACAAAGTTTACATAGTCAATGTTGAACTAATATTTTGACAATATGTTAATTTCATTATCGCGGGATTCGGAAATTTCTTTTCGTAAAATCCCGTTGTTTCAAAAGCAATAACAACAAAACAAAAATGCCTACTGTAAGTCCTTCTGTGTTCGAAACAAAGCAAATATTATAAAATTCATAACTTTTGTATACCAAGTTGAGAAAGTCCTCGTTTCTTAAGTCAAGTCTTTCTCCAAAAAATTAAATATTAAACTATATAATTGATAAGTGTGCCGTGTCGCCGCCAGTTCTCTTGTATATCTAACTGAAGAAGTTTTAATTTATATACTTATTTTATCGAATCCACAATGCCAAACAAATCTAAAAAGTTCTAATTTTGAGATATTGTAAAAATTTTAACATAATATTTAAGGTATATGTACATTCGTGGAATTGTAAAAGGCCATGACTCCGGTTTGGTTTTGAATACATTAAGAGCGTAAAATATACACAAATATAGCTATAATAATTAGGTTGATAGCTAATCTTGCAGATTTATGAGTTTGTCAGTATGAGGACAATATACAGGGTGTTTCACAAAAGGTGGCAAATAATTTCAGGGATGATTCCTTAATCAATTTCCAGCAAAGAATTGTGCGCATGGGGAGGACGGTGCAAATAGATTAGTTTTCAAGTTAAGGTTTGTTGAAGAAAAGGTACCAGATTTTTCCTGCATATACATAAATGCTTATAACATCCGGAGCTGGTTTTACAGGCGATTGATTGCTCTTTATTTTCGGTCTTACAGTTCATTTGATTTGAATTATATTTTACAATTAATTTCGAGATAAAGCTCGTCAAAGAATTTCTGTTTTTGTTTTTTAAAATTAAAAAAAAAAACACGAAATGTCTCAAAAATTTGTGTTATTTTTTTTTGGTTTTTTTATACCATCGATGGTTACTCTTTGTCGCATTGTTCCGAAATCATAAACTTTTATTTATATGCAGGAAAAATCTGGTACTTTTTTTTTAATAGACTGTAGTTCGAACACGAATCTACCTGCACTTCCTACCATACAATTTTTTGCTGGAAATTGATCAAAGAATTATCCCTAAAATTATTTGCTACCTTATGTGATACACCCGGTATGCACTTTTTTTTATTATTTCTATATACTGAACTCATATCTATAATTTTTTATTTTAAATTCAAATTTATCATACGAATTAATTTTTACAACAATCGCACAAAACATTAGATACTTATATATATATATATATACATTCATTTTTGTTGCATACATATACATGAGTAAAATCCAAGTATTTAAGGATTATGTAGTCTTGTAAACCCTAAAATTCTACAAGAAACAAAATGAGTTATCTAAATAAAAATGGAAGTTTAGCTTTTTAATTTTTTAAATTATTTGATAATATTTACTATAAATTTTTTTATACTCATTTTATCATTATTTAGTGCTATACTTATAACTGCTATATTTGCTATATTTAATTAATATATAATTATTTCTAATCTTGTTATTTATTATTGAAAACGTTTACTTACTAAATGGTGGATTCGAAATTCATTTGAATTTTTGTAAATACGAAATATTCATCAAGCTATCGTTTGAATCATTTGCGATATTTATTATAGAGGGTGTTTTGCATAAGGGTACAAATTATTTCAGGGATGAGTCTTTGATCAATTTTCAGCAAGAAATTGTATAAATAGGGAGGGGGGGGGGGGTGCATATATACCCGTTTTCTATATCCTGTTAAAAAGAAGGTACCAAATTTTTCCTGGTGTGTATAATAAATTCTTTATTTTACATACTACACTAAAAAATTATTTAGTTTGTTTATGTTTGTATGAAATGATTGAAATTTGCATTTTTTTCATGTTTTTTGAACACATATAACACGTTTTACTAGTAAAACCATGAGAGATAGAGGAATATGTAATATGCGTCTTTAAGATGTCGTCGCGCGCATCGAAAAAAAAAAGAAAAAAAAAATAGCACAAATTCCTCTATATGGTTTATAGATGGTTCCTCTATAACGCTTTATAGTTATAAGTATCTTTATAGTTATAAGTATATATTTATATGCAGGAAAAAGCTGGTACTTTTTTTTCAACCATACATTTTGTGCCGGAAATTGATAAAAGACATGGAAAAGATTCTTTCCACCTTATGCGAAATACCCTGTGTATTTCGACTACACGAAATTTACAAATTTAATTAAGATTTTATAAAAAAAAAGGTAAACAACTATTTTGTCACGTCTACTTTTGATATTGTGCCATGACAGAAGAAGGAAATTATTATCTTTGTATGTCAATTATATCAACATTACATGTTTGTAAAATTTTAGTCATTTTCGATTGCTTTTAGATTCGGTTATAATTTTGAATTGAGGCGTGCTCTCTTATAAATTTAATAATCTCTCTAATAATCTCATTGATTTAAATTCTTTAATAAGTTTTATTAATATTGGAAATGAAAGAAACATCATTATTAGATCCGAAAGATCCGGTTTAGACAATCATTATTACTATCGAATAAGATATTTTTTGATGTAAAATAATCCCTCTAATAATCTCATTTTAAATCAAAAAATATCTTATTCGATAGTAATAATGATTGTCTAAAGTATCTTTCATTTTCAATATTAATATAATTTTTCAAAGCGTCTCAGTTCAAATTTAATTCGATAACTTCGTTTCCGTCATTTCGTTTTCAATAAGGACGAAAATAATATAAGTAACAAAAATATTTAATTTTAAGATTTTTTATTGAATTTTGTTCTGTGGTTTGTTTTTTTTTTCTCTAATTTTTAAATAATTTCTAGTTAATTTTGATTATTTTTTTTTTTTTATTTTTTTAATTATTTATTTTTCAATTTTAATTTTTCTCCAACTATTTTTTTATTTTTTATTTTTCTCTTTTTCTCCTTCTCAGGTTCAGTGCAAATCAAAATGATGTCGATGGACATAAAACAGAGCGGTGAGTTTAAAAAAAAAATCATCATAAACAAAAATTCCAAAAATAAACGAAAAATAAAACCCAATTGTTCAAAATTAGTTCAAAAATATATTTAATAAGACATTAATATATGCATATATACACCTTTTTAATATACACAGTCATTTTTCGTATAGCGACATCATAATAGGCTTACCATTGTTCTATAAAAAAGCTAAATATATATATAGAGCCAAACCTTTAAAAATAATGCCTACTTATTAACAAAAAAATTATGCACGTTTCCAATGCGCTTATATTTTTAATTTTAATTTTCGGTTGATTCACCTAGTAGCCGCCATAAAATATAGTTTAAATTACTATTTCAAATCACTTAGAAATCACTTAATTTATCTATTATATTACAATTTCATTTATTGGTTTCTATTACCGTTTGCATATAGACTTACCGTTGTACAAAAGACTAAGAATGTATTACAATACTCATTAAAGTAATATTTATTTGTCCAAAGTTAAGATCAGTTCTTTTATATAGATTTTATAAGTTATGACTAATTTTTTTTTTCATATTTCAGGTTGTTATAACATACTTTTATTTTCAAATTAAAAATTAAGGCGGCTTAATTGAATTGAAATATTATTTTCCAAGTTGAAAAGTTGAAATTCTTAAAAATATTTTTATTTATTGATTTATTTAATTATTCGTTATCTCAAGAGAGCATTAGCTCGCAAAGAATGTTACAGTTTCATTTTTTTTAGATTTTCTCTAATTTAAAGTTCAATAATATTTTATAATTTGACCTCAAGCTAAATTGTCAAAAAACTAAACAGTGTTCATTTAAATTTCAACGGTTTTTCATAAATTAACAACAGTTGACAGTAGAAATTGTAAATAGAAATTGTAGGTATGTTGAAATTACATATAAATAAAGCGTAAATATGGAGTATTAAATCGGAGATGTCGTAATACGGAGAATGTAAAACACGGTTAATGTTTTATCCATCATTAATAATATTCACTTTTATAAATGTGTACACTACAAACACTTTATCTCATTTTATTTCTTCTCCTTTTCTTAATTTTTTTTCTTGTTTTTTTGCCTTTTTTGTATTTGATTTCGTTTCAAATTTTAAAGGGATAAAATGTGAGGTATTAAAGTAGAATTATAAATTATTTCAAATTTCATGTAGAAAATGGGAGATTTACATTTTTTACAAAACGACCCATGCAGTGTTACAAAGAAAAATATATACATATCTATCCTTAAAATTTTTTATATGGTGTATCAGATGGACAAAAAATTACGTTATGTCGCCTGAAAATTAGATTTTTTTAAAAAATTTTTATTTTAATAGAATACAATTTTTGAAAAGCTTAGCTTTCGTTTTACTAAAGTTCTGCGACTTTATGCAACTTTAAGATAAAAAAACATCTAGTTTTAATCGCAGATTTATTATTTTAAAGAACCATTAAACATTATAAAAAAGTTGAACAACAAAAAGATTTTGGGCCTAGTATATAATTTAAACTTTTTAAGACATAAAGTTTCCATAATGTTGTTTTGTTACAAATAAAATTATTATATAATATTTGATTCATAATTTTATCTTGTTTTGTTCAGTTAATTAGCAACATCTTATTATAAACGTACAGGTATAAATTTATTTTTTTAAATTAAAAAGAAAAATTAGTGACTTATTAGTGATTATTTATCACTATATTAAATTAGTAATTATTAAAATTAGTGATTATTTCATAATTATTATCTGTATGTTTTAAAACTTCCATTCTTCTAGGTTAGCTTATGTTATATAAGTGTAAGTGTAAAAGATAAATTCTATATAGTATTTTTATTTAAGTATTCAATTTGTGTTTTATTTTTAAATATTTAAAATAATTTATAATTATTTAAAAAAAATTATCATCAAAAATAAAACAAAAAAAAAATAGCTTGTCATATTGTAGCACAATTACTCCCCATTATAAAAGGCGCCTGTAAAACATTTTTCGCAAATCATATACAAAAAAAAATTTTTCACATTTTTTTGGTATCATTCATTTTTTTTTCTCTTTCTTCATTATAAATGTAGTTATTTTTTCCTTAATCCTAGTTAATTTAATTGTTTAATTAACTTTTACCGTTTACACGATGTGTACCTTTTATTGTTTATTCTTTTAATTTATAAAATCTCGTTTAAAGTTAAAATATAAGATTTTTTTTTTATTTTCATTCTTATTTGCACAAAATTATTTATTATGTAATTATTGGAAGTAATGTCTCTAAATGGATTAATGTTGAGTTTTGTTGAATTAACCATTACGGCATCGAGTTATAATGTATTGATTTGAAAAATTTAAACTCGATCAATTAATGGCTTAAGTTTCACTTTGAAAAATTTAAACCTAACTTTGAAAATTGAAGTTTCATGCTTCCATATACTTTGGAAAAAAAATTTATACCATCTTAAACCGCATCCAAAATCTTTCTTGCCTTCTGTAAGTTTCGCGAAAAATCCTAGACGAATTTATGTCACATATTATTTCCCAATAGTAATTTTGTTATTGTTAAATTGAATCGGTACCAAAATTTATACATAAGCATGCCAGATTCCCTGTTTTGTCATGTAATATGAAGCATTGAAGTCTGAAGATAATAGCAATATTAATATACCTTATTAATCTTTAACATTCTTTCAGTAAGAACGGTCGCCTAACTTCTTTTTTCTGTAATTTATCATATTAATTTTTTTTTTAAATGTGGTTTAAAAATATTTATATTATTCATTGCGAAATTTCAAATTTTGTGTAAAATATAGTTTCTATATGTATAATACAGCTAAACAAATTTTAAAGGGTTATGACTACTATCATTCTCTCAATAATATCTATATCAAATAGTGATGTAAAATATTCATTGTGAATATTTTGTGATAATTTAGTGAATTTATCTTATTTTTTAGTAATATCGTATATAGACGAACGAACATGCAGATCAAGATAGACGTGCCTCGTGGTATATATTCTTTACCTAAGATTATTGATAATGTGTCTATTTAGCGGTTATTATTGTAGCTAAATTAAAAGTTATGGTCATTGTGGAATTATATTCTCGTAGTATCCCAACGAATTTAGCTATCTATTTTAAAATCTTGTTATAAAAGCGACATGCTTCTATTTTCACTCTCTCATTATTAGTGAAACAATTAAGTAGTTTGAAACGCCTTTAACTATAAAATTGATTTAAGCTTAATAAAATATTTAATTTTAATTTAGTATTTATCATAAATTTCAATACTAAATACTTAATATAGTTGAATAATACAAAATTTTTAATACGTATAATGTAATTTAATAAGTGAATTCTAATAAATAATTTAATATTATATATAAGTATTCCAACAATTATAAACACCTTGTCTATTCTTTCTCAGTTACCAATTGATATTGTATTCAAATTTCAAATTAACAAGTTAAGTAATATGAATGTTGACCGAAGAATTAACCAAGTTATTAATAAGAACTGAATGAAAAATTTAATTAGTTGTGATTTAATTAATACTCGTAGAAAACTACCCGAATTTTAATACATGAATTTTAATACAGTAAACTGCGACACGGCAACAGGTGTCTACAGATCGATTCCACGTCAAATTTCTTTTTTTATATACAAATCACCATTTCGGAAAAATATATTTCGGTTGAAAATTCGACATTTAAAAATTTTTGAAATTACCAAAATAATTGCATTTGAATTCGATCAAACTTTCAGAAATAGTACATTCTCTCAATAAATTTATCTCTTAACATTATAGAAAAATTTTATTTGTTTTGCAAAAAAAAGTTAATGTATGTTAAAAAACAGCATGCCATTACCCGCCATTACCGATATGCCATATAAACAGCATGCCATTACCGATTGTGCAACAATCCATTAGGAACCATATCTTCGAGTAAACGGCCGAAAATAAGTAAAATTTTTGTTCGGAACATAGTGTCAAATCGGAAGTTTGGAACGGAAGTTACAAGCAAAAAAACATCAGTATGTTAAAATTTCGACAAATGTTCTTAAAATAGCTTAAGAACTTCGAATCTGTAGCTTCGAAGCGGTTCCTATTTGACACTATGTTCCAAACAAAAATTTTACTCTTTTTTGACCATCTACCCGATGGTATATGGCTAATAACTTGTTGCTGATGTCTTTGTGAAAAGGACGTTTCTGAATATTGCATTATATACAATTTTTAACTAATCTATTGAACGGTCTCTTGTAAAGTAAAAAAATTATTGAAGAAAAATTTTATGACAGTTATATTATTGGTTAACTTCCAGAATGCGGTAAGTAAAAAAATTTTGAGTGAAACGCAAATAGATTTAAAAATAGTTTCAGATAGTAAATTGGAGACATTAGGCAAAAAATGTTTAGCGCTTTTTGAATTAACTGATGGTATTGTTTATTCTGATATCTGTCGCTCAATGAAAAATTCTATAGTTAGTAAAATATAAAAAAGAAAAAATTTATGCACCCCTTTTTTTAAAACAAAAAAAAAATATTTAATTTTTTTTTTGCATAATTTTTGAATTTTTTAATCTTGTTTAGTTTTTCTGTTTTTTTTTCATTTTTTTTTTTATTTTTTATTTATTTAGATTAACACATCCGAATATAGTGCAACTTCTTGAAACATATGAGGATAAATCTAAGGTTTATTTAGTTATGGAATTGTAAGTAACTAATTTTTTTAATAAAAATTAAATACATATATTTTTTCTCAGTGTTTCTCACATTAACATTTTATTAGTTTATAATTTTAAAACATATTTTATACATGTTAAACTTTATTTGTATGATTTAAACTGGTGAATTATAGAATCTGCTTTCTAATTAACGTAATATTTTTAAATGTTAATATTAATAAAAAAATGTTAATTAGCCACTTCTTAAGTTTAAAGAAAAAAAGCAGAACATGAAATTTCATGCACAGACATGAAATTTCATGCACGGACATGAAATTTCGTGCATGGACATGATGTTTACTAAACATTGCCATAATGTTGAGTTAATGTTAAAAAATTGATTATGTTACTCCCATCAGCTCATTTCGTGATTAACTTTGGATTTCACTCAGTTATAGTTCGCATCACTTCAGTGATGTGTCTTGCAGAATGAGGATGATTTTATATTATGCATAATATTAAATATTTTAATGAAAACCGTGTAATTGTCAAACAAACTTGATTTTATTTTTAATATTTTTTTTTGTAAAATTTTATAGGGTTACGGGTGGTGAATTATTTGATCGAATTGTTGAAAAAGGTTCATATACAGAAAAAGACGCCTCAGATTTAATACGACAAGTTTTAGAAGCTGTAGACTATATGCATGATCAAGGTGTGGTGCATAGGGATTTGAAAGTATGATTTTATTATTATTATTAATTGAAAATTTTTTCTTAAAAAAATTATTTTATAAATAATCAATTTAATTTTTTTTTATATTTTAATTTATCCAGCCCGAAAATCTTTTGTATTATAGTGCTGATGATGATAGTAAAATAATGATTAGTGATTTTGGTTTATCAAAAATGGAAGATTCTGGGGTAATGGCAACAGCATGTGGTACACCAGGTTATGTTGCACCAGAGGTATTAGCTCAAAGACCTTATGGTAAAGCGGTGGATGTATGGAGTATAGGTGTAATATCATATATATTGTTATGTGGTTATCCACCGTTTTATGATGAAAATGATGCTAATTTATTCGCTCAAATATTAAAAGGTAATTTAATGTTAAAATAAAAAATTTATGTAATTAATTTTACAGTTAAACTTAATATAATGTTGTAAATTTAGTAAAGTATTAGAGTCTGTTCTAGACTTCCTTCATAATAACATCGGAGTCGTTAAACACAGAGTGCATTAACAATTTTTTTACAATGTTGATTTATAAATTTTATTAAGTTAGATTTTGGTTGTTTCGGTTCTTGGAAGGGGAAAAGTTCGTTTCAATTGTATTTATTTCTAATTTACTCTATATTACTTCATACATATGGATATATCTGGAAATCGAAAAAAAAACATGCAACTTAATCTTGTACGAATAATTTTTTGTACCACTGTATATAAATAATTACTTAGATGTTGGTGAAGTAGAGGTTGTTGTCACTGAGGACCATAGGCAGTTGGAAAGTTGTTTTTAAGAATTCACTTCGGTTTAGATAGAGGAATTCGGGACATTCGGGATTCGATGAGTACGGTTTCTGGATTCATTACTAATTTTATCTTAAAGAGAATTGATGTTTTAGATGTTCTCATTCACATTTTTAGCTTGTGTGTTACGTCAGGTGTTTTCCCTAGAAAATGAAGTAAGCTGAAGTGATTTCCCTGTTTAAATAGGGTGATACGCTTGATTCCAATAACTACGGACCTATTTCGTCTATTAATAAAATGTTTGAAAGGTTAATGAATGTCAGAATAATTAAATTTTTAAATAAAACCAGCGAAGTCTAAAAGCTGTGGGAGCTCGCAGGTGAAGAGCTCGCTTTGCTACAAATAAGAAGAAGGAAATGGCGCTGGTTGGGGCATTGGGGCATACGTTAAGAAAACCACAGGCTGTGATATCGCGTCAGGCATTAGAGTGGAATCCACAAGGTAACAACTTGTGGATTGAACGATGATTTCCTTGTCTATTGTTGGCGTCGAGCAATAGACAGTCACCATTGTCTGGTAAATTATCACCTGCATGGGCTGGGGAAGTCGGGCTCTGTCCAGTGCAGATTTTGCGAGGTCAGCGATAAAACTGCCGTGCACAGCCTTTACGACTACCCGGTACTGGCTGTCCGGCGGCGCAATCGTTTTGGTCAGGGTTTCCTAAGCGGTCGGGAACTGCTGTCCAACTCCCTTAGTGATTTCTCCGGTTTCATACTTGGGACATTGTAGGTGGGGGAGTGGGGAGGCTGCAATAAGTCGCGAATGGCTTAATGGAAATAAGTGAAACGAAGTAAATAAAAAAATATCGGTGCCAACGATATTTATTAATAACTAAACGATTATTATTACTAAACTAAAATTATTAATTTAAACGATTTTGCAGATATTACGCTAGTTTCAAAAGCACTAAATCAAAAATTCTATACTAAAATGGATTTCTAATGGACAACATAATATTTCTTATTTGCATCTAAAAACACAATCGAAGTCTAATTGCTTTTTTTCATATATTTTAATTTCTAGGTGAATTTGAATTCGATTCACCATATTGGGATGAAATAAGTGATTCTGCCAAGGACTTTATTCATCATTTGATGTGTGTTAATGCTGAAGAAAGATATACATGTAAACAAGCGTTAGCCCATCCATGGTAAGTTTTCAACTTTATGATTTAAGCTTATAATAGATTTTGTTGAAGTATACATATTGAACATCTCTTTTTATAAAATTGTCTTGTTTTTAATAAATTATATTTTAAATATTTTTCAGGATATCTGGAAATGCTGCTAGCAATAAAAATATTCATGGCACTGTTTCGGAACAGCTTAAAAAGAATTTCGCAAAATCAAGATGGAAGGTAAATTTGGAAATTTAAACATTTTTTTTTCTTTGTTTATATGGTAATGTGAAGGTACCAAATAATCACATTCCAAATTTTCAATAAAAATGCATTTTTCCTTAATAGAGAGTTCAAAATAAATTACTTTTAAACAGGCTTTTCAGTTTATCTGTCCATGTCTATCTGCCTCTCTGGTTCGGTTGAAATTATTTTAATGAAAGTTTATATTTGAATTTACTTTTATTTAGTATATCTGGTCTCAGGAACGGAATATCAAAACATATTCAATTTCCCCTCATACACTGAGAAAACAATTGAATTTTAAGATAATGTGTGACTTCAACAATGCTTTATAAAAAGTTTAAGAAATATATGCGATCGTAGTATCGTCTCAGAGCTTGCAATACCTTTACATTGTAAAAAAATTGCTAAAGCTTTTGACACAATTTTTACAATATTAATACATGACATATTATGACATCTAATTTTGTATAATTAACAAACGTTACCACATCATTAAAAACAAAGCATTTAAATGCTACATTTAAAAAAAAACTTAATAACTAGCACTTTACTGCCGAAAATATATGCTAGTTTATTTAATTGGTTATTTCTGGCAACATTTACATGACATGTATAAGAAAAGCGTGCCCGATTTTTTCGATACCCAATTTGCTTTTTATTTTACGTATCCACTACGTATAGAGCGCATTTAGGAAAAGTGTACAATGTCAAGACCTTTTTTTGGAATGTGATACTTTGTAAAGTTTACGTCGTAAGCGCATTATTTACGTAAGTCACGGAATCTTTAAATTAAAATTAGGCATTTATTTTAAAAATAATTATTAATATATTTTTTGTATCATATGTATATATAGCAAGCTTATCATGCAGCAACTGTTATACGTCAAATGCAACGAATGGCACTTAGTAGTAGCAGTACAAAAACATCAGTCACAACAAATACAACTACAACAAAAACAACAGCCACATCAACAATTAATAATAGCAATATATGCTGTAATAATAATCAAAAAGGTGATAGTAATCCTACAATATCGACAACAACATCATCATCAACAAACGAAACAGTATCAAGATTATCAGCATATCAAATATGTGATCATCAGCAACAAGGACAACAGCAATCACAACAACAACCACAAGTAAATACGGATAAAAATAATTCCTGCATAAACGGTGATTCTTCAAAATGAATTGTTAATAATTTTTTTTTCAATTTTTTTTTTGACTTTTCTTTCATTTTTTTGTTTTTCTTTTTCAAATTTTATACTTATTATCATTAATTTTTTTTATACTTTAAACATATAAACTATCAAATAAGTTTGTCATATTCTAATTAAAAAAATAAAAAACTTAATAGAATTTTCTTCTAAAATATATATAAAAAAACTAAAATTTAAATTAAAAATAAAAAAAATTACGTGAAACAAAAAAATATTCAAAAAAACTTCAAATTCTTCAATATACAATAATACATATATATACAAATTTTTTCTCACATTCTATCTCTCTTAACTCATTCTTCTAATATAATAAAAATAAAATATTTTGATTGGGTAGTAAATATAATAAATCCGAAATATGTTAAATTTCACATTTTTAATGTATTTTGTCGCTTAAGTAGGCCATCTATCAAAATGCAGATCTCGTCAACTTGACTTGCACAAACACTTTTATTTTAAAAAATGACGTTTGAAGAGTAGTGCAAATCTTTCTTTTTCGCTTTATTTGAAATTTATGATTCCCCGGCAAATAAATCATTCAAGAAAATTCGCATGTTATTGCAATATACATACAAGTGAGAGATTATTTGTATGATCGGGAAAATCGGAATAATTTCTTCTTTAAAGATCAAATATCAAGAATTTTATTTTAATGCCAGAGATAAACAAATTTATTCAAAGAAATTTATTAAAATTTTAAATAATTGTATACGTTATCACAAAATGAGCCTGTACAAGGGTGTTTCCCACAAGGTGGCAAATAATTTCAGGTGTGAAAAAATCATTTCTAAAATTCATCTCTAAAATTATTTGCCACTTTTGTGAAACATCCTATATTTACATACCTATTCAAAATTGTTTAGTAATTAAAATTTATTTTCAAAAACTTGTGGTTATAAATAGTAGGCCGATTTACAGTTTGTTAATGTATTTAAAGATATTATACTTACTGTTATAATGGCATAATGGTGTGCCAGAATAGCTGACGTCTTCCTATAAATTTCGAAGCCAAAAAAAATATATTTTGACAGTAAAAATCTCTTAATTTAAGTCTCTTTCTTCTGAAATTCACTTTAAATTTAAATGAAATGAAGGAATGAATAGAACAATAAAAGTGAATGAATTATAAATGGTATCCGATGAAGACGTTTTATTGTGATAATGGTATATCAATATAACGGATTTATTATATTTTTATTATCGTAACAGACATTTTTCTCTTTTTCTCTAGCTTTTAATTTTTCGCTTTGTTTTCTTTTTTAGATACTAATTACATTCTCTCTTTTATTAAATTCTTAATTATTCTTAATAACATATAATTAAAACAAAAATATAAAAAGAAAATATTGTTTATAAGAAATAATTAAAAATTAAAATAAATTTATAAAAATATATTTGTACATATATATGTATGTAATATTTATAGTATAACAAGTACTATTATTTTAAAACAAAAGGATAAAAAACCATAAATCTCACGTTTTTACTCTATATTATATAAATTAAGTTTATATGTTATCAAAAATGAAAAATTGTTATATATATGTATATATACATAATCAAAAATGATGCAGTTATTATAGATTCTTCATGAAGAACAAAAATTTCTAATTATTTTTCCTATTGCCTAGGGCCCCTTCGATTTCTGTATGATCGGCCAGGTCTTTTGAACCCATATCTATATCTCCGCCCTGGTCTCCGTCAATTTAGATTCTACCTGTTGGAGGTTCATCATTAATAGCAGGGAGTCCAGTTAGTGATCATAAATACTGATATGACATGGAGCGGAGCAGTCCTTGTACCGAGAACCAATTGTTCCCATTCGTAATGCAGCAAAAGGATTGTTTGGGAATTTATACATGAACATATCTATAGCGGCAACAATTTTCCTAAAATCCTCATGTCCTTGCCAACGAGAATAGCCGCAAATTCTTTGACGTCAAAATTTTGTTTTCAGTCTGCAAACTGTCTGACGTATAAAACTTTTACGGATAGAAATGTAGTAAACTTTTTACCCGTAATTGACTTTGAATTTTGATCATCCGTAAACGTCAAAACAAAAAAAAAAATTTTTTTTAGATTTAAAATAATTTTATACTTACATATTAAGAATTAACAAAAAAAAAAATATTTTTTATATTATTTTTAACGTAATGATAGTCACTCAATACATCAAATTTATTTACTAACTTACTACGTCAGACTGTCTGCATGTAAAAAAAAAATCTACAATTTTGCCGCTTAATTGACTTTTTTTAAACGTTTAAGAATTTAAGCTTTGACTGAAAGTAAAAACGCAGTAGAGTATTCGTAAACTCAGACAACTCAGATTTTATAAAATTTGACGTTTAAGAATTTACCATAGGTACTCCCCAATAGTGTCAAATTTGGTTGCAAATGAGAGACTTCTGGACATTTCCCTAATTGTGTAAGCATTTTGGGAATTAATAGATGTCTATGTTTGGGATTTTGAGAGTTTACTAGTCGGTATATTAATAGAATAAACAGGCAATTAAATTTCACATAGAATGTAGCTGCTCCAGTCGTCCTTCTGAACTCATAACTCCCAATTGGGGTTACAGTGAGCATACCAAATGGGTTTACATTTCCATCTGCTTCCCCAATGACAATTCCATAAGATTTCCACTCATCAGAGAGTTTTCCCGTTACTTTTTTGAGAGAGTAGTAAAGATAGTTTACTGCTAAAGATGGCTTTAAGGTTGTGTTTTTGATGGATGATTGTACTTCTGCGTCGAGTACGGGGAGTTGCTCATTTGGAATGATGATGATTTTGAGAGCAGGTTTCGACCCTGGATGTTTTGCAAAACACTCACTAACAAATTCAAGTTTCCGTTCTGAAGACATGCTTTGAGAGTGGTGAATCCTCTCCGGTATATTATTTCCATTTTCACAAAATACAAAAGTAATTAGATTAAAGATCATTTAAATATTTGTAGATAAATACTACAGAGTTTAATGGTTTATTTGTCTTCGTGACATTCGAGTTCTGCCAGTAAAACGTTTTAAATGTGCTTATAAAACATGCGGAAAATGCATATAACATTTTACAAAAGTAAAGAGGAAAACCCCTTGAAAATAGTTAGACAATCATACAAATCATTAAAATAGAAAAAACTACTGAGAGAAAAAGTTTGATATTATTTTTTGTTCTGATTTTTTGTTTAAGGGGTACAAGGAAATAAAAAAACATTTTTAAATTTTTGTTCTACATGAATAATCTATAATAAATGCATCATTTTTTATATAAAGTGATTAAGTCATCAGTAACATAACATGTACCATCATTTAGTTGATCAAAAATGAGTAAAAATTTTTCTAAGAATTAGGTGTCAAAACTCAACGGTTTCCGAGATACAGGAATTTTTAATAATTTTCACGAAATTTCTACTTGTTCAAACTTTTTACCAATCGTATTGTGTATACAACAGGTAGGTTATGTGATGGTAACATATTTTGCATATCGAGTTTTCAGTGGAAAACGCAGTTCACCTTGGTAGAGAAGTGTAAATAAACTCTTTTTAGCAGCCTGTCGGTGTGTCACTTTGTCGGTCTGTCTTCTGTGTGTACACGCGTGTATCTCAAGTTCGGCTGAACCAATTTTGATGAAATTTTATGTGTATGTTTATTTCGAAGTTATAAATAAAGCTTGAGGAAGTAGAAATTTTTTTGAAAATTCTTTAAAATCCCTATATCTCGGAAACCTATTTCTGTAAAAAAAATTTACTCATTTTTGGTGCCCTAAATAATGTTATATTTTATGTCACTGATCGCTGAATCTGCATATGTATGGGTGTTCTTATAATGCAATATGCTTTCGCGTTTCTAACTTAGAACTTAGATAACTTAGTAGACAGAAACACGAGCTGCAAGAATTACAAATTTGATATTGTCATTAAAAAAAGTTTTTTTATTTGTGACAGTTCTAAGATTGTCATATGTCATATGTTTTTTTAAGTTTCAAAATTGAAACCATAAAATTGAATATTTTATTATTTCCAGTTCACTAAAATATAAATCAAAGTTTTTTTATAAAAGTAATTACAAAATTTTAAAACTAATTTATTCTAACAAATCCTATAAATTCGACTTATTTTTTTTTTGTAAGTGCAAAATAGTTTTTGCAGCAGTAAAATCAAACCTACGTTGTTGCGCGTTTATCTTAAAAACCCTAACATGCAATATTGTAGTTATAAAACACATTGCAAAAAACGTACTACAATATCAAACACAATTTTTTGGTAGCACGTGGAGTACTTTATTGTCAAACATAGGACTCATTCAGTACTAAGTTAGAAGTGAATTATCAAAAAACGCAGTATGTACAGTGGCGAGCTAAATTGTTCAAACAGTTAAAAAACTATTTATATGCGAAATATAGCCCTGTTTTAATTAATCATGGAAACGATATAGAAGTACTTTCTATTTTTATAGCATATTATTCTTAATTTTATTATTTTTAAAACCTTCGTTTCTTAAAACATAAAATGAGAGTTTTTGAATATTAGAATAAAAATATTCCAAATTCTTAATAATACAAAATAATTAAACTGCTTTTAAAACTTTAAACAAAATATTATGCGAAAACGCATGCAAAACTATTCAATTGTGATTTTTAAGAATTTTTTATTGCTTTTTTCAAATTGTCTCTTATTAAATATAGTCAAAATAAAATTTTATAAAATATTAGATTAGTATTTAAAATTAAATTTATTAAATATAATTATTAAATTAATTTTGTTTGAGAAAAAGAAAAAAAAATATGGGAGATTGAAAAATTTTTTTTGAATTACTCGTAAGTATATCTGAAAAGTTGTTCTCGCTACTGTATATTACAAAAACATTAAAAAAAATATAATAAATTATATACTATAATAAAAAAAATTAAATATATTAAGTACGAGTATGCATAAGCAACAAAAAAAAAACCAAAAAAAAAAATTTTACAATTAAAATTTATAAAAAATTAGCCCGATAATATGCAATTTTTTTCGTTAAATTTTTTATATGTACCTATATAATGTACGTTAGTTAATTTTTCTCTTTTTCTTAAAATAAGAAATGTAAAGTAATTTTTTTTTTATATAAATATATATTTAAAAAGTCTTCTGTCGCATTACGCTTAAAATGATTGCACAAAAATAAAAATAATCAGCCCTATCATGAATTCCACTTGTAGAATTTTACGAATTACGAATTGAGCTGCGACGCAGACTTTTAAATGATCACAAATTGCTTTCATAGAGATTATGAATCAGCAATGGCAACAGAATTTTTCGGAGTGTCAAAATCAGTATTTTGTTTCAACTGTCAAATGTTTATTTATGCTTTTTGTTGCTTTATTTAAATTAACGGAAACGTTTTATATAAGTGTAAAAAAATAATTTTATTTCACAATTTAATTTCACATATGTAGGTTCTACTTAAGACTAATTTTACAATATAAATTCTACATTATTTATAATGAATTTTTGCTAAGCTTGGCAATTTGTATTTTATATTTGAATTAATTGATTTTATTAAACAAGCCAAATTAATATAATATAGGATGTGCGTGTTGAACTTTTATTCCCAATTATGCAAAAAGTGCTGGCATATCATATTAGCTGTAATGTTGGCTGTTAGCTGTAATGTTAACTTTTATGCGTACAAAATTTCCATAAAAAAGAATAATTTCTTTTGTTTTTTTTTTGAAACGTGAAGAAATTTTTTTTAAGCAAACATGAATTCATTTCGTTTCATTCTAGCTGTTTTGAAAGAACTCAAATTCAAATAAAAAGTTCGAAAACTTGAAAATTTTAAACAACCACTCACTTTAAATTGCTTGTTACGTGTGAGTATTGCTTTCGTAGATTATTGCGGCTTATTTTTACTACGAACGTAATTTATGATTATTCTATAATGAATATTCGTAATAGAATCTTAGTAATTCGGAATTGAGAATATGAAAGTCGTAATTTTCCTGAGCTACGAACGAAATTCATGATAATAGCTGAATAATAAAAAAATCAAAATTACAAGGAACTACATATTTTCATTTTTAGTGTTCATTGTATGGCAAAACACTATAGAATAATGTGGAATAATTTACATATTGTGTTTAATAATTAAAATGTTTAACTATCGTGATGAATTGAATTTTAGTGTTAATAATTTTAATAAAATATTTACATAACGCTATACATTAATATGTAATGAAATTCATAATATACCTTGAGTTCTTACAAATAATAATTTATAAGTAAAAATATAATATATTCTTACTTGCGTCTTGAGATTAATTTTTTATAAATCTTACTATTTTTTTTTTCAATTTTGGTTTGTAAGATGCAAATTTTGCGATAAGTTTTTCAATATTGCTAATTATCAAAAATATTTCTGAAATTAATAAAAAAACTTAAATTAATCTACTAACTTACTCAAAATAACATTCATAAAATATAAAATTGTTTATTAAAAATAACGACACATTATTAGTATTAATACTGCGCTTCTGTTTTTTTGTTTTTCTTATATAATATGCCATATATTTCACTTGTAAATAATAAAATATCTATATTCATAATTAAATAAAAATTTTTCAAAGAAAAATTAATTTTTTTTACTTTTAACTTTATTATAATTAATAAATTTAATTCCTATCGTTAAATAATGTATGATTAAAAGAAAAATAATTGAAAGAAAAATAAATTTAAAAAAAAAAAACAAAAAAAAAGTAATTTTGTAATTATTAAACTAAAAAAAGTGTGAATAAATTAAAACTTTTATGTAAAATTTGTAATATTTTTAATGTGTAATATAATATTTCAAATATTTTCTTTGTTTCTCTCTCATTATCTCTAATAATTAATTGTTAATTAAGATTAAAAAAAAAGAAAAAAAAATATATATAAATAATGTAAAATCTTTATTTATAATTTTTATTAAAATTTTAAATAATTTGGAGCCACACGAGCTCATTCTGAGAATCAAAACATAAAATTATAGGAGTGATATTTATAGTAAAAGTTTATTGTAAATTTTATTATATATTTATGGACGAATCATTGATTTGTTTTTAAAATACATAATAATATCGAAATTTAAACGATAAATATGACATTAGTGTTTGTGATACTCAAGAATAAGCCTTATGTAATTATTTTCCTGTTTTTTGTATTATTTAATTTTTTGGTTTTCTTATCTTATATAAAATATTAAGCCCCGGAAAAAGGATACGTTTACTCAAAATTATATACTTAAGATTTGGAAGTTTCAAAAAACTTTATGTTAAGTTGTCGGGTCAAAAAACGGGAAAAAATAAAAGAATAGGAATATTGGAATTTTCCTAAATATGTAAAGTCAAATAATGCGTCCTTTCAAAAACTGTTCTTTTAAAGTTTCTATTTTTTTTTTTTTTAACGGAAGTTATAACTAAAAAAACTTGACTTATGTTCAAATTTCGCCAAATTTTCTTGAAATCTCTGTAGATCACGTTTTCGATTTGACACTATGTTCCGAACAAAAATTTTGCTTATTTTCGACAATCTACCCAACGGTATATGGCTCCGACCTTGTTGCTGAATCACCTTGTATAAACGACAGAGATGTTTGTTTTTAAAAATAATTATTAATAAAGTTAAATTGCATACAAAAAATTTTATTTGATTTATAGTGATTTCATAAACTGCTAAAAACTCTAAATGTTAACATAACTGTCATTTCACCCGAGTTTTCAAAATTCCAGTGTATATTAATACCATGATATACAAGTACTTCTAATACAATGTTAAGTAGTACTTGTTCACAGTAAACGTCCATATAATCGGGGTTATTAATAAATTTTTAATTAAACTTTAAATAGCAAATTTTATATTTATAATATAATCCTTTATATAATTTATATAATATAGACAAATATAATATTGATTTGTACAAATTGTTAACAAAAAAAAAAAAAAGAAAAACGGAAAAAAAACTAAAATAAAGCGTTAAAACCAAAAGAAATAGTTTTTAATAATCATATCAAATGAAATTATAATCTTATTATTAATATTTTTTTTATTATTAAAGATATATATATATATATGTATATGTATGTATGTATTTTAAAATTACTATTAAATATATACATACGTATACAATGGTTTAAAATAACTAAATTTAAATAATAAAAATTAAACAACAAAAAAAATATTATTTATATAAAAGATGATGTATCCCCTCCCACCTTTCGCTATATATATATATAATTACAGTTATTCCCTCCGATACCGAAAATAATTAAATAGACCGGAAAACTTATCATCTATATTATTCTTTATGATGCCATCACCATATTTCAAGTAATCGGATATTATTCACAAATTATTAAATTAATTTTTGGAAATAGAATCCAATTTTTTAAATTATATATAATGAAAATAGTCAATAGTTTTGACTATTTTCATTATTTCAAATTTAGATCAGTCTTAGAGAATAATAGGTTTCCACATGGTCAAAATACATATGTTTCGAATTAAAGCAATACGATACGCTTTTAATTTCAATATACACATATATATATATATACTCTGTGATGAAAAAGCGGCATCTATGTTAAACAGAAATAGCCGAAATATTTGTTTATTTAAAAATTTTTACCGTTATTACGAAAATCACGTCACACTATAAAAACACTTTTTTTTGTAATAAATGCATCACACAATTAATTTAAACATTCGCATACAAGAAAGGGTGAAATGAAAAATTAAACATTTAATCTACACTACATAAACGTTACTGTAACACTTCAATATATTAGGTCTATCTAGTATAAAGTGTCTGGTGTAAATATGTTTCGACAGCTGTAAGGTTTCAGAAGTTTTTAAAACACAAAATTTTACTTTACAAAACCAAAATTTGGAAAAACTTTAAAAATTGAGAAAATTAAAACGTCATCATTTTTTTCTCTGATTTTTGTTCAAAAAGTATTATTCCAGACGCTTTGCATTCAAAAACTTTATAAAGTTTATAAACAGACGTATTATGTAGCGATGTCTCAGTATTGAATTTTACGAAAACTAGTATTGATTATTCATCTAACAGCTATTAAAATTTTAAATAAAGAAGGCTTCGACATAAAAATTTGAAAAAAATAATGAAAACAACATGAAATTTCATGTTGTGAATGTTTGCTAAACATTGTTGCAATGTTGAGTTACTATTGAGAAATTGATTATGTTACTTACATCAGCTGATTTCGTGATTACTTTCTGATTATGCTGCCAGTGATACTGCTGCAACATCTTCACAGTGTTTACTTTTTGATTTCACCCAAATATATATCTACTTATTATGGTACGTTGGTTCTATATGAATATATAGTAAGGTGGAATTTGTACGTTAAATATAATTCCATTGTTCTTCATATATAAAATACATATAAATATTTATTTTTTTACATAATGAAAATTATATAGATTTTTTAAAAATGTTAAGTCGCCAAATTACACAAGCATTATTGAGTTTAACCTTTTATATATATACATATATATAATAAAATAATACTACAAAAAAAAAATATAAAAAAACTATTTAAATACAATTAAAAAAATAAAATAAAATTCCTAAATTGTAAACTATATATACTTATATTTAAAATCATTAATAAGGATAATAAAATAAAACAAGAAAAATGAGAAAAAAAAAACAAAATATATAATAAAAAAAAGTGAACTTTATTAATCACAGAATTAGTTTTTAAAATAAATGTTCAAAATTTTCTTAAACAGTTTTCCAAAATTTTCGACCATTTTTCAGAAATTCCTTTTAAAGCTTGCTCAAATAACGTCAATGATATGTAACTGAGGAATCTGCTGTTTTAAATCTTGCCACTTTGAATGATTTTCGGACACCAAGTTGGGAAATTACAAAAATATTGGAAAATATTCAAAGGTATTTATTGTTAAAATTCTAGAGTTTTGACGATTAATCAAACTTTCAGGTGAAAACTTTGAAAATTGTTATAGAGATCTGCGTAGTGATTACATTTTTTGACAATTTTGAAATATGTAGGAAGAAAAATCGTATTGAAATTGTTTTTATAAGACAACCAAGCATCTTTTTACTCTATTTTAACAATTTCTCAGATATGTTACGAAATTAATTGCGTTTTTGACGATTTGTTATGTAATGGCAACAAATTTTGCATATCGAGTTTTCAGTGGGAAACGCACTTCTCCTTGGTAGAGAAGTGTAAATAAACTCTTTTTAGCAACTTGTCGGTGTGTCAGTCTGTCGGTCTGGCTTCTGTGTGTACATCCGTGTATATCAAGTTCGGCTGAACCGATTTTGATGAAATTTTATATGTAAGTTTATATTTTTATATTCAAGTTCTTATTCAAGTTTATATTTTTATATGTAAGTTTAAGCACAACAACTCAGTTTTGTTTTCACTTCTGTGGAAACTATTTTGTACTTAAAAAAGAATTATGTTGGGTCAAATACTTTGTAAGATATTTAGGAAAATTTAAATAGGAAATTAATTACAAGTTTATGTAAGTAAAAATCTGATTTAAAAAATTCTCATATATTGTTATAATTTTACGAAAACTATTACAGCGGTTGGCCTTATCAACTTCTATACAAAGGCAAAAATGTAACAGTAACTGTTAATGCACTAAAATAAAAAGTGCACACACCGTTACTTACCGTCAAAATAGCTTAATTAAATAAATTAGTTATAAAATTCAGTCTTAATTTTTGGTAAATTATTAATTTAAGGTTTGCCCCTACATTTATACAAAATTAAATTAATTAGAGAATTATGCTTTTCAATTGATCATTTTCGTAACATATAGGGTTTAATCAGAAAGTAATCAAATATTTGAATGGATTTAGCGTGCAAAAAAAATTACTGATGCCATGCAGTTGTGATGTGTTTACCTTACTGATGCAAAATTATTCTGACATTTTTAGACACTTTCTAAATCATAAGTTTTTTTGCGTTTGTTCAGAATAGGTTTTGCGTTAAAAATTATTGTGCAAAATTATTCTGACATTTTTAGACACTTTCTAAATCATATGTTTTTTTGCGTTTGTTCAGAATAGGTTTTGCGTTAAAGTATTAAAATTATGAACAATTGAAAATCTATAAAAAAAAAGAAAATTTGATTTCAATTAAAAATTTAAAATGTTTCAAATAAAACATTTAAAAATATTACAACGGTCCACCTTTTTTTTAATTATTTCATTATTAGGATTTACGTTAATATTATCAAAAAATAATTAACTTTATTAGTTATTGATTTAAAATAAAAAATTATTTACTTCTCAGCTTGTATCAATAAAAAACTTTGCACCAATACAAAATCACAAAAAATATTGATGCAAAGCTGATTTAATATGATACGCATACCATGCGTATTTTTGACATTTTTGGACATCAAACTTTTAAGTGTTACTTACGGTATTGAAGCATTTTAATTATAAGTGTTACCGTATTAAAACATTGATTACTTTCCGATTGTACCAATACTTAGACCTAAATATATGTCATTTTGAATATAGGTTCGATCGTCCTTTTTTTTTTACATTAAAATTTAAAATAAAGTTATTTTTTCATTTTTTTATTTTAAGTATATGTATAATTTATTTTTTTATTGTATATGTATAATGTATAAAAAATAAAAAATCAAATTGTATTGATAACAAATAAAAAAAAAATATTAAAATTTTATTTTTAAATAATATTAGAATAATAAAAAAATTAAGTCTAATTTTTAACTATTTTTATTTTCGATATCCATAATTTATATGTGTACATATATAAATACTTTTAGACTTTATTTATGAATTCAATCAAATTGTGTAAAGTACTAACAAAAATAAACACACCAGGTCGGGAGTATAATTTACATTCAGTAATTATATCAATATCAAATATTTATAATGCAATAAACGAATTCAACTAAAAGCAGCTTCAGAAGTAGTTAAATATAAGTTTGTTAAGTTTTCGAATTGTCATTTTATATGAAGAGGTCCAATGCGGTCATTTTGGTTATACCACATATAATTTTATTATATGATTCTAAAGTTTATAATTTTAATCCATTAATTGGTGTAACGATATAATGAATCTCTATATCTGGCTCCGATAAAATTTTCTAAAATTGAGTTTTCTTTTATTCTTCTTCACTATTATTTTTTGGTCCTGGTTTTATTGATGCTATTATATATTGTTATACGCTTGTTATTATTATTATTATATATACATATTTCATTAATAATACTAATATTATAATTGTTTATTTCTTATTTTTGGTATAATATAATGTTCCTTTTCCTATGAATATCAAAAATAGTATTAAATATTATTTAAATTAAAATTAAAAATAATTTATACTTTGATTTCATCATTGCAATTTCGTTGATAATCCATAAGTTGCCTCGATTTTATTGGTCTTAATGGATTAATTGATTGATGTTGTTGATGATGTAATAAATTATTATGATCATTTTCTTGATTATTATTACTATTAATATCCTTTACATTTGTTATATCATAATTATTATTATTTAATGTAGATTTTTTCGTTTTTAATTTATTTGATGCTATTGGTAAAGCTGATGATGTTGTTGATGCTGATGATAATGATGATGGTGATGGTGATTGGATTTTAGATTTTAATGATTTTTTTGATGTTAATAATGATGAACCTGATGATGTCATTATTGGTGATTGTAATAATAACGATGATGATTTTAATGATTTTGTTCTATGATTTAAAATATTTTTTTGATCGGAATCATCAAGAAAAATATCATTATTATCATTATCGTCGTTCTTATTATTAAAAGGATTATTATTATTATCATTATTAGAATTAAAATTTAAATTAGTTACTGTTGTTAAATCAATCGGTAGACTATAACATTGTTGATTTATAGAAGAACTATTATCAAATGAAAATAAACGTAAACGTTGACGTATATCAAATTTTTCTTTAGCACGTTTCCTTTGAAATTCTTCTTCAACTCTATATATAATTTATTCAAAATAAAATTAATTAAGTTCATAAAATATAAAATTATATTATTTTTAAGCGTACATACCTACTAATTACTTCAGATTCAACTTTACGTAATGCTTCCCTTTCTTCAGCTTCACGTGATAAACGTTCAGCTAATTTTTTCCTTTCGATTTGTCTTACAGTACTCTGATATTTGAAACGATGATTATTAGCATGTCTTTGCATTAAAATATCTTTGTTACCCTTTTGATGATTTTGATGGAAAAAAAAAAACAAAAATACAAAATTTCAATAGCGAATTTGACCATTAAAATATTCCAAAAATATATAATAAAATATCTTTTAATAATAAAATGTCTTTTCATAGTAGATTACCTTTTACAGTATACTCACATTTTTTAAAGCTTTTGATATATCCAATTCACGTGAATAAAAGGAGTTTATTAGACTATTTTTTGTTTTATATGAATTATTATCATCATCATCATCATCATCGTCATCATCATCATCATAATTATTATAATTTAAACCATTACCACTATAATCTTCATTATCATCATTACCATCAATATTATCTATATCATTGCCATCATTTTCAGCATCGTCATCATCATCGCTATTATTTTTAATACTATTATTGATTTCTTGATTAATATTTAAATCAATAAAATTTTCATCAATATTATTATTATTATTTAAATTATTATCATTATTATCAATATAAATTTCATTATTAATATTACAATTTTTATTATTAATTTCATTTATTAATTGTATATTATTGATATCATCAGCTGATATACCACTATCACCACTTTTATTATCAGAAAACATTGGCTGGGGTAAATGAAATATACGTTGAATTTTTTCTTCAGTAATACCAGATGATTTATTTAATATATTATTATTTTTATTATCGTAATTATTATCATTATAATAATAATAATTGTTGTTATGATTTAATAAATTATTTGATTCTAATTGTTGATCTTGTGCTTGTTGTTGTTGATAATCCATTGATATTTTATTATTATTATTATTATTTAATTGTGATTTTGATGTATTTAATAAAAATAGTCTTTGTACATCACTTAACATACGCCATGCAGTTATTGGACTAAATCTTGGTACCTCCAATTGTCGTCTTGGTAATATTGGTCTTACATTTACTTGTATACCATTTGTATCATCATTATTATAATCATTATCATTATTATTATTATCATAAGAAATATTAATATTATATATTGGTGTTAATATATTATTAATATCAGATGATGATATTTTATCAGATGATTCAGAATTATTATATAAAATATTTATAATATTATCATTATTTAAATTTAATTTATTTATATTATCATCAATATTATTATTATTACTATTATTATTGTTATTATTATTATTACAATATGATAAATTCATATTGCTATCATTTAAATAAATTTTACTACAAATATTACTTGTTTTACTTTCTTTATTATCATTTTTATTATCATTAATATTTTTGTTATCAATAATATCATATGTTTCATCATTATTATCATTATTATTATTATTTGCACCGAAAAATAATTGTTCTAATTCTCTTTTTAATTTATTACCAAACATTTGTTTTATTTTAGTTTGTTGATCTTGTTGTTGTTGTTTAAATTTTTCATTATTTAATTTATTCTCTATATCATTGTTACTTATTTGTTTTTCATTACATTTTAGAGTATTATTATTAAAATTATTATTATCATTATTATTACCTGAACGACTAATAGAATCTTTATTACATACTGTTACTGATAATTCTATAATGGATGATGATGGTGAAGATGATGATGCTGACAATGATCGTGGTGGTGATGACGATATTAGTGATAAATTATTTATTGATGATTTTAAATTTGCTGAAATTTTTGATTTTTTTATTGTTATATCATTATTATTATTATTTTTATTATTATTGATTATTTCTTTAGATAATGATAAATTTGTATTTAATTTCTTTGAATTGTTGTTATGTATTAAACTATCTTTTTGATTATAGTTACATAATAATGAAGCATCAAATGATTTTTCACGACGAAAATATTGCTGTTGAGATTTTATTATAAGATCATTCTTATTATTATTGCCATTACTTGTATTTTTATTTTTATAATGATTATTATTACTATTACTATGTGATCGAAAATTTTTCATAGAGTTTCTTCTTATCGTATCAGGTGATAATGATGATAAATGATAATTTGAGATTGATTTATTATTATTATTAAAATTTAATTTTGTTGCATTTGTTAATTGTACGTCATTTGATCTCTTTTTTGTTTCTGCATTTGTTTTAAATAATCTTAAACGTTTTTCATTATGTACTTCATTTTTAATTGTATTGTTATCATTGATATCATTAACATTATTATTAATATTATCATAATTTTTATTACAATTATTATTTGTTTTGTTAATATTTGGAGTATGAGATGAAATTATTTTATTACTTTTTTGCTTTTTTACTGTTGTATCTGATTTCTGTTGTTTCATCATTAGTGATGATTCCGTAGAATCATCATTAATTATTAAATTATTAATTTTATCATCGTTTTTATTACTTTTACTTTTTAATAATAAATTTGTTTTTTTATTATCAATTGAATTTATTAAATCAGTTTTTTTATCTAATGTTATATTTTGTTTTTGTGTTTGTTGATTTTGTTGACCAGATATTGTTAATAATTTTTTATTATGATTATTATGATAATTTCGTGATGAAGATGTGGATGATGATGACGTAAATGGTATTGGTAATAATGATTTTGTTAAAGATGGCACTGATTCTTTTCTACCACTTATTGTACCGCCAGAATTTAATATTGAACCATTTGTTGTACAACGTAATTTAGCACCGCTTGGATTGAAATCAGGTAAAACTTTTACTTGTGGAGTTATTGTATCTTGTCGTTGTTGAAGTTGTTGTTGTTTTTTGCGTGGTTCAACATGCTGTTGCCGTTGTAATTGCGAATTTTGTTGTTGTTGTTGTTGTTTCTTCTGAGAAGATGATAATTGTGTGGTTATGCTATTATTATTGTTAGAATTATGCGATTGTGATGATGATATTGATAATGGTAAGGAATTTGTTGAAGTATGTTGTTGCAATGGCTTCTTTTATATATATATATATATATAAATAAAAAATTTATATAATTTTATAATCAACAATTATTTTTAAGTTATGTAATATAATAACGAATTTTATAATAAATTAACATACATTTCTTAAATCAATTGGACATGCCTCATGTAAAAATGCATCTTGGACTTTCAAAGCAATTGAATTACGTTGGTGGTGCTGTTGTAACAATTTTTGTTGTTGCTGATGATGATGCTGCAGCTCTTGTTTTTGTTGTTGTTGTTGTTGCGATAATTGATATTTATTATTTGAATCAAGTTTTAATATCGATGTAGCGTCATATGGTGATGGTGATGTTAATAATGTCGGTAATATTTGATTTACATGTTGATTACTACTATTTTGGCCTAAATACTGTTGTTGTTCTTGATAATGTAATTTAAGTTCTTCTAAAGTAAATTTTTTTTTGGAATTTGAAATCATTTGATGATTCATTTCCATTGTACTGTTAGAATTACCCATTTCTTTTTTTTATTTTATATTTTCTAATTTTTAATTTAAAATTAGATAAAAAAACAAAAAAAAAACAATTTTTTTCTTCTGCAAGTAAAAGCAAAGCATATGAAAAAAAGAATTAATTTTTATGCAAATAATCGGAAATTTAATTTGCAAAGTAATTAAAAAGTCATTCTGCTTATTGTTGAATTTGATAAGATACTAATTTTATAATACATGCAATAATTAAAAAATAAACGGCTTAAATTGTAGCGTTCTTTTGTTATTCTCTTAATTCTATTATTTTTATTTTAATCTTAATTACTATACATACACATTGAGAATAATTAAAAGTTAAATTTGAAAATTGTTTTTCACTTAGAAAACAATTTGCGAAAGTAGAGAATTATACTAGTAATAAAATTAGCAATGATTGTGGCATAATTCTAGGTAGTTCGCTTGGCCCAACGCTTTTCAACTGTTACATTAATAGTTTTTCAGAACTCAATTTAGATGGGCAATCATTTCTACATGCAGATGATTTACTAATTATATATTAAATAAAGAAAATAAACACGAGTTAGAAATGAATGTAAATTCTGATTTAAATAAAATATGTAATTGGATTGCGAATCATAAACTATCTATTAATACCAACAAAACTAAGTATATGCTATAGTAAAATTGAAAGCAATTTATTTACTAAATTTAAAACATAACAATGGAACTATTTATTAAACTGAGATCTATATAAATATTTAGATATAACTATTGATTCTGATCTTACATGGCAAAATAAAATTCGTATTAAAACAGACAAAATTAGAGAAATTGCTGGAATTTTTACAAATTAAATTCATAAAAAATATGGTATATTAACCGTGAAGCTTTTTACACAAAAATTATATTGCCTTCAGGTCCATAAAATGGTAATATGAAACTTTAATTCGAATGTCCCTTTAACAATAATATATGAAACTCATGAATATTATACAAGAACATCACACCTACGCTTAACAAATAGCATAACATAATATAACAATCTTTCTGAATATCTAAAGAATCTAAATATGAATTATTAAAATTTTTAGATACAAAATAAAATTTAAATTTTGTTAATGAATTTAAAATTATCGTAGCTCAAAATTTCTTTATACATAATTTGTTATAATAAGCACATGTAACATAATTTTTTTTTTCTAATATTGCATTTGATGTTATAATAATTATAGTACATACATGCATACATATATACTCTGTATAAGTAGATTTGCTCTTTTTTGAGAATTAATTCTATAAATAAATAAATTAAATAAATAAATTCAATATTTTATAACAAAAATTTAACCCTTTTTACGTCAATTATTTTTGGAAATCGTTTTCTACAATAAAGTCAGCAAAAATGCTATGCAAAACAGTGCTTAAATCGTTATTTTCTCCTTTTTAAATCGTATGGTTCATAATATTAAGAGATCCGTTAATACCTTTTAGTTTTTAGTAATATATTTACTTATTTGTATTTTTTTGGCAGTTTTTTGCAAAATACATTTGATATATTTTAAAATTTTTAAGAACTTTATGAAAAAATGGTTATTTTATTAGTAAAATTTTGATTATTCAAGAAAATATACTTTTATAAGAGAGTCGTTCAAAGCATGTATAGTATGTAGCTTCCATAAATGGAATTGTAAAAAAACTTGGCTTTCTTCTTGTATTTATATAGAGATATTACTAAAAATTCGTTATATTTAATTTAATAATTGTATATTCGTTGATAAAAATTATATTTTTTCAATATTATATAACTTAAAAAACCTATTTATTAAGTAGTGCTATTAAAAATGTGTATAAAAGATTAAACTGGTTTATAGTCATAATATATAACTCATAATATATGAGTTATATACTATGATTGATATGATCATAAACGGAACAGGTTTTGAAACACTTAAACCAAAAATTTTAGTATTGTAAAGTAATTTTTTTTTCTCTAATTTCTCAAAGTTTATCTTTCGAACTTAAATATACTCTTTTTATTGTCCACCATTTCAAGATTTTATTTTTAAAACAACATATTATCAAAAAATAAGAAAATTAACTGTAAAAATCTTAACAATATTAAAATATATATAGTTATAGTTTCCTATATAATGTGCTTAATGAAATTAAATTATGTAGATAGCGTTTTATATTTATGTATTTGTATGTATATATAGCTATACATGTATATATTCATACAATATGGGTAAAGTGAAAATATCTTTTAAAATATTATTTAAATTTTCTTAATTCATTTTTAATTCACTATTAATAGAATAAAATAAATTTTAATTAGTGTTTTAATTATAAAAATATAAAATTAAATAATTAATTTTGATTTTATTTAATATTTTATGCACACACATACACACATTTTTATTTATGTACACATATCTGAAATTCTCACCTTTGACTACTATTTTACTACTATTTTATAAATTTTATTTAGTTTTATTGTTGTTTTTATTTGTTTGCAGAAATTTTCACTTTTAAAACTTGTTTTATTTTCCCTCTGGTATTTTTCTTATTACAGTCTCCACAAGTGCCCGATCCCCGCCCGTCTTTCGATTATTTTATATTTTTATTAATATTTAATTTTTAAAAAATTTAAAAAGTAGTCTATAATATTTTATTTTAGATAAATTTTAATAAAATTTTTGTAATTTACTACGAAACGTTCAGAAAATGGTATAGTTTAAAAAACTAAAACTTATAACTTAAAACAACAACAATAATAATAGAAAACAAAAACATGGATTGTACATCTTCGCTT